CAGCAGGACTTCAGATAAATAATATATTTATCCAAAAGAATCTAACTGCACAACTGATGCTGGCTTCCAATTTCTTGTCTTGCTGATCTTGTTTAGCACACCAAGTCCTTAAGGTGATGCAGCGTCCTGAATGAAAGGCTGTGGCATCATTCTTAAGCTCGGGTTTGTCATCCCCATCCAACAGCACCATCCTAATGCTGTGAGGCTGTGACATCAGGTCGTGCAACCCAAAGTGATGGGGTGGGGTTGGGGACTGGGCAAAGTCAGAGGTGGTAACTGCAGTGCCAGTGTCTTCCTCAGATTAATCGGGCTGATGACATTTGACTGTCTGACCCTTCAAAGATCAGAATCTTCATCCTGCAGATCTTGCGTGCGTGTTTCATTTGTGGGGTTTTTTTAACTTCTGCTACAAGAATTTCTGATATGTGGATGCATTAAGGAGAACACATTGAGCTGTATTGTGAGTTGTCCACTGCTCCTAGCAACTAGTAATGTAAAGGACATGCCACCTCCCTCTGCTTCTGCAGGCAGATCCCTAGAAGCTGGTGCAGAGTCTGCTCGGGATAACCCAGAGGGACCTGTTCTCTCAAACCGGGGGCCATAGACAGTTGTCCAGACTGGCACAGCCCAGGGGAGTTTAACTCTGCGTGCTGTGCCTGTTTGCCATAGCTGTGTGTGGCAATGAGGAGGTGGCCTGTGTGGCTGCTGTGGTGACAGCGGCTACCTGGCGAAGAGGAGCACTGTGTGATCTCGGGGATCAGAGCTATTCTTTTCACCACAGTTATTTTCTACTCCAACCCACTGGGAATTGCCTGCACTTTCAAGTACTGGAGTGAGAAAGGAGTATATACTGTCCTAGGAAGTGCTGGTAGTTAGGATCACAAATTTAGGGGAAAAGGAGCAAGGCAAGGAGGTATGAGAAGTATTTAGGAATGAAGTAGAGTTTCTTTGCTTGCTCTAGAAATGCAGGTCCTTACTGCTTTCATGCATGCAAGATAGTTCAGCACCAGCAAACTGCTGGGAAGTACTTGATGTCTTTTGCAGACTTAAAATGCTGCTGTTACCACCTGTCAAGCCAAAATAGGCCAAAACGCAGAATGAGCAGCGCGGTCCATTGAATAGCTCCTGTCCCTGAGGTGTTAACCAACACTGTCGAAATGTGCGGGCAGTTTGGCTGTGTGGGGAGCACGGGTCGCCAGGACAGCTGGCCAGCGTCTGGAGCTGTGGACAGCAAACAGTGGGGCTCAGGCAGGTCCTGAGCCAGTGTGGTTATGGCAAAAGCTTCAATAACGGAAAGTGACTCCACGCTGTTGGATTCTGCTTCAGCAAGGCCGGTGTTGGGTCTGAATCCCAGAGAGCATCCCGGAGTGTCCTGCCAGCCAGGGAGCGCAGCTGACACTTCATCTTGGGAATGTGGGCTTGGCTCCCCGGTCTGAAGTGCTCTGTGGCTGCTCATGTGCTGGCTGCTCTTCATCTCTGTATTTGCACCCTTCTGAATGATGCTGCAGCTCGTTTTCTGTTGACTGCAGAGTTCATTGGTGTTTTCATTTCAAGGGGGTCAGGAATGCTGGCTTCCTTATCGGGTTGCTGAGCTAATTCAAAGGTATGATGAGTAGAAGGTATTCCTGCCAGCTCTTGCTTGTTGTAGATGGTCTGCAGGTTTTAGCTTGAATTTGTGGTTGCAGGTGGCTCCAAGTGAGTTACTTCATGGTGGTGTTCTAGTTCTGTTCTTAGAAATAGAAGACCAGTAGCAAGCATGCATTTTCTAGTTATTCTTGTATCTCACAGATTCAGATCATTTAAATAAGAGAGAGAGAATATCCAGCAGGAGTATCTGCATTTAACTCTGTGTTAAAAATTGAACTGGACGTGAGCTTTGCATGCAATAAGCACAAAGAACGTCATTCAGAAGATTCTCAGGAAAAAACATCTGTTTATATGGTTATCTTACAGAAACTTAACTTTTCCACTCTTCCCCTTTTCTGAGCTTGAAGTTTATATGTGTTAGTTTCTGTAGGATTTGTAAATGTGTCGATTCCAGAATGTCTCCCTCTCCTGCCCTGGGTGGCAGGTGGGTACATGTCCTCTTTGGTGGGACTGAACCGGAGGCCCAGGGACGCACAGTTCCCATTTTCCTTTTTTCTCACTGACTCCATTTGGAATTGACATTTATCTCATTCCCCAGCCTTCCCCTAGCCCATGAAATCTCTAACACACCTTTTCTTAGTTTCCATCTGTGTGCTGTGGCACGTAAAACAGAAAGCAGTGGATGCATGGTAGAGCATCTTCCAAATTGCTCTCCTGAAGCAAGCTGAAGAGGATGAAAACGATGGTTTCCCTTTTCAGGAGAGCTGCTCAGTCTCCCCTGGGGTGGTTCATGGGAACGTTATCGGAGCCCATTGCAGAGGTGTTTGGGCAGGGGCAGCGCTGGTGAGGAGAGCACGGTGACTGTGTTGGTATAAATCACCTCTAACTTCAGCCTTGTGTGAAACACTGTCACTCTCTGCCGGCATTTTGGCTTCAGAGGTTCAGCTCTTCCGCAGATGTCTGCAGAAGAGCAATTCTGGACTTTCTTTATCCGTGCTTTCAGAAGCGCAATAGAAATACATAATTTTTTGGGTCTGACCCTTGAGTTCAGGAGTAATAGAGGCTACAGAGCATGACAGTTCACTTTACTATTGCCATGATACAGCTTGTGCCGATGTCTTTGCTCTGGAGAGGAGGACGTGTTCATCTTAAAGGATGACTGGATGAGTGATAGAAGAACAAAATGGAATAACTGTGATGGAACCTGGTAAAAGTTAGATGGAATAGAGCTATGTAACCAGTTTAAAAAAACCTGAACACTTCAGAAAATGAAGTGCCCACGCATGACTTTGTTAGTAAAATGTTAGCACCCCTGTTGTCATAGTGGCAGAGGTCTCTTGCAGCCACCTCCTTGCTGCTTTGTGTCTTGAAAAATGACCAAAATACGCGATGCCGTACTGAGGTCTTGCTCTTCACTGGGGGTCGGTTCTGCTGGACCGCATGCTGCCCGCAAATGGTGGGCGCTCGCTGGAGAGGACATCTTCTGCAGCAGGGAAGCCCAAAGCACACCAGGCACAAAGTCATCTTTTTGCTTCTTTTGTCACCTTGTGCTAAACTCTGGTTTTCTTGAGATGCTTGCGCTGACTGGACGCGTGGTATGTTTCAAAATGGGTTGCTCCTGCAGACCTACATGAACATAGTAAGTTTTCACTGATAAAACAGATCTTGGACCCCGTCTCCAGCCAGTGCCTGGCAATGCATATGCAAATGTACTGTGTAGCGGAATTAATTGCTGAGATCTCTCTGCTGAGGTATTGTTTTGGGCTTCAGTAGGTAGGCCTAGTAAAATTCCACGGCACATTAGAGATTGTGCATATTAATTTTGCATCTAAAGCAGCACAGTATGTCAAATTTCCACTTTCTAGTTTATCTGCGCTCACCCCGTCCTATTTCGCAGCTTTATTACTTGCTGGTTTTGTGAATTCTTAGCTTGGTTGCTGACACTGGACTATGAATTAATATGATCTACGTAAAGGAAAAATAAAACGCCTTAGTTTACTCCTGGGCAAAAATCTATGTGTTTGGCTCTTGGCCCTACCTTGTTTGGCAGGGGTCACTGGAAGTCCATGCAAAAGCATGCTAAATCCTGCAGTGACAGAAATTCTTGTAATGTTGAGTTTTTAAAAGGGTTTTGAGAGAACATGAAGTGACAGCTGAGCAGAAAGTGAGTTCCACTGTAGTGACAGCTACATGCAGAAGCAGTGAGAGTTTCCTTTGCCTTCTACAATCAAACCAGTGAAATGCAGCTCTTCTGGATTCTGCATGTATTAAAGCATATTAACTTGTTTTTCTCCTCTTCTGTGTATGCAGGAGGCAGATAGTGGGGAAGAAGAATGCCGGTCCCAGCCCAGAAGGTAAGATTGTCACTTGAGGCTTGCAAGAGTCCTCGTGGATACCTTTCTGTGTCAGATGTTGCACAGGGATTTTTTGTCATTCTGCATGTTTGGTTGGGTGGTTTTTTTTGTCATGGATTTGTGTTTGGTTTTTTTTTTTACCCACCCAAACATGCATCGTTTTCTGCCTGTTGTTAATGTTGCACAACAGTCTCGTGTACATTACTAAAAAACAAATATACTTAACTATGACCTAAATGATGCTCCCAGTAAAGGGGCCACTGCAGCAAGAAATGGGATCAGTCTGATTACACACTAAAAAATATATATGGGGACCAGTTCACAAAGATGTCAGCGAGTATATTCTCCAAATATGTTTGCATCCGGGAAGTGGTGTCTTGCCTGCAAACGTACTCTGAATAAGGTGATGATATTCCACTTCTCTGTGCATGTGGAGATTTTGCTTATATTTTAGGAGCAATCCTAGTTGTGTTGTTCCTTAGCTCCCTCCAATACCTGATGTTGGTTCTCAGGATTTCGTCCGTCATCAGAATATTCTGAGAGGAATAACCATGCTAATGAACTCTTGTTCTCTGCATAAAAAGTCATCTTGCCATCAAGAGCTGGATTGGATTACTCTAGTTAGCAGCAGTAGCACAGGAGAGACTTCAGCAGTGATAGTCATCCTCTGACTGTATTTCTTCACCTCTTGGTTACGCCCCAGTGCACATCTTTGGGATTTGTGAAAAGCTACATTTCTAGAAGCTGAAGTACAGGGGACCCTATGCCATAAAGGCACCTGCTGCTTGAAATAGCACATTCATTGGATGCGTGGATGTTTGCTATGGATGCAGGCAAACATCTACTCCAGAGTTGTAAGAACACTGAGAATTGAGAGGAATTTTTTTTTGACTGGGATTGTTTTGCATGGAGATGTTCACGTTTTGTAAATGCTGGTTTCATTTGCTTTGGGAAGAACCTTTTTGATAAATGCTTATTCCTAAAAACCAAACAAACATTGGCACTCAGCTGACTGAACGGTGACAAGTATTAATGGTGGTTTTATAATGTAATCATAGTCTTAGGGGTAGGCTTCCTGAAGTCTTGCAAGCTTTGTCTCCTGTCCTCTAAGCCATCAAGAGAATTATTTCAGGTAAACTTAATATAAACAAAACCTGAATTTACCAAATGTTGCAGTCAAATCTTACGAAGGGCTTAAAATTCCTCCAGAGGGAGCAAAGAGGAAGTGAAGGTGAAATGGTTCTCACTTTATGAGCTCTTGGGCTGTTACAGTTCTTTGCTTAATGTTTGTGTGAGCAGGTAACAACGGAAGCTGTAATTTCTAGTATTCAGAAGGCTTGAACAAGATCTGGGCTTTGGGTTTGGGGCCAGCATGGATGAGTCTGCAAAAGAAAAAGCTGTCCTGGTTGCACATTCCCATGATTTCAGTGTAGTCCTGTGATTCTGTGGCCCGGCAACGGTGACTGGTCTGTTTCCTTCAGCCTTCTCCCCTTAAATGATGATATAAAAATTGTTGCATGTTCATTTTACAACTTTCATGACTGAGAGGAAAGCTGGAAAACACAATTCCCAAAGGCTCAAACTGAACTCAGCTAAACTCTGATTTTTAATTTCACTCTTAGCCTTCCGGTAGTCACAAGATCAGCTCATGACTTGATCTCAGTATACATAATGTATTGGAGGGGATGGGAGGTATTTAATTGTTGTGGGCACTTAGCAACAATTGTAGGTTAGGTTTGAAACGAGGATTTTTTAATATATTCTAAATAACTTCCTGGAATAAGAAATGACGACCTGCTGTTGGTGTGGTGATCTGAACTCCATGACTCCTGTTGCTGGGGTCAGAAATCTAACTGAAACCAAGATGCTTCTTGGGGAAAACAAGGGGGTGGGTGTTAAATGTGTTTGATTACAGTAGGATAAAAATAATACAGTCAGACGTGGTAAGTAGTCAACCTGGAGTCCTGCTGTGGAGGAGCAGCAGATGTCTGTGAACAGCTTCTGAGTGTATCTAATCCCTCATTTTCAAGGGAACATAGCAAGTAGTAGCTATTAAAAGTCCAGACAGTAAAAAAGCAATGAACGGAGTTTGGCTTTAAAAGCAGAGGTACGTTATCAGCTGCAGTGTCACCGAAGCAGCACGGCAGCAGCCCGACATTCCTAGCTGCCTGCCTGGGCAAGGCCGGGCTGGTGGAGTTCTCCTGAGGCATAATTCGGGTGACCTGGCTGTAGCTACAGTCAGTGTTTGGGGTCGGATTTTTGCCATTTGTAAAATTTTTTGACGAGAAGTCATTTTGTCTCCTGCTCTTATGTAAAATTTTTTTAAACACTACCTCGGGGTAGCATAGTTGGCATTGAGCATGCCCCAAACTCATCCCATCAACTGGACATTGAATCCAAGATTACTACTGTAGCTAACAGAATGTTCGGGTTAATAAAATAACTTTTCAATATTCATAAAATAGGATGCTTACGAGGGAATTAGCTTAAGACCCAAACATAAGCACACAGGCATGTTTGGTGTCAAAAGATTTTTGCAATGATCAGTCTTGAAGATCACTGGGTGCAGCCTTCATTTCCATCCTCCCGAGCCCCCATGTCGCTGCGCATCTAGGGATTGGCTCAGATGAGATAAAATGTTCCACTTAGATCCAGCTCAACATCGTTGCTAGTCCTGTGGCTGGCAGTTTCTAGATAGCCTCTTGTGTTAGCTTTCTGCTGTTTATTGCTTCTCACTGATGAGATATGGGTTATATATTGAGGTCAAGGGGAACATACAGAAAAGACTGGCAGTAGGACAGCAGGAGTGACTAGTGCTTGTCGAGCAGAGGCTATAAAGAGCAACCAGTCCAAAATGTCCTCCAGAGGCAGAGAAATGAGTTTCAAACAGGAGCTTCAACTTGTAAGTAGGTACATCAAGATCTTCATATCTCAGAAATGTAACCTGATCGGGTGCTGACCTGGTCTTGCTCTTTAAGATCCAACACCACAGAGGACGGTGATTGCGTGGACTCAAATCTCGCAGACAAGCGAGAGGAATTGTGTGAAAATGATGTTTAAACTTAAACCTGCTCTGCAGAGCAGTCAAACGACACGACAAGTCTGCACTCGCCATGAGACCGCTTCTGCCAGCACCATCGCGGAACGAGGAGTTCTCCGCTTTGTGAGTTAGCAGAATCCACTTCAAGCTTTTCTCCAAAGAATGGAAGAGCTGTTAGATGTGCAGAGAGAGAGTTCACGTGTGCTCTGCAATGATCCTTGGAAGATGCTTGAAAGGGTGTTTTCTGGCAAACTCTTTTTGTACTGCTGCAAAGAGGAATGGTTTGTTTCCCTGCTTGAGGAAAGTACTTGGCTATAGTGAACTTGGACCTGATTTTTATAAAGAGTTCTATCCGTTGCTAAAAACCACAGCAAATTAATACTCCAAATACCTGAAGCTGAGCAAATAGGTGAAAACCAGCTTGGCTTCTGGAATTTTTTTTTCTCACACCCAAGCCCTGCTCTGAGGGAAGCTCAGGAGGGTCTCTGTCCCCTGCCATAGCTGGGACCATTCTTGCAGTTTCTGGATGAGATCCCCAGACCCCTGGCGTGGGTCCCAGTTCTTGCTCTGGAGTCCCTGATCGAGCCAGTCCTGTCACCTGACTTAACGCTTGGCTAATGGAACCAAGACAGAGTACTGCATGAGCAGATGTCCCGAACAATCTATTTATTACATTTATTACCTTCTTAGCTACCTTCTAGACAGTTTTATGAGGCTATCTGGAGGCTGTACAGCTAGCTGGCCTGCGCATCTCTCCTTCTGTCCCCAGACATGCTGCTGCCACGCTCAGTACCCTCTTAACGGAGCCTCTGTGTTAACAGTCTCTTTGCATCATCCCGGTGTTGTTAAAGTTTACCTAAATTCACGTGTATTGAGCTCTGAGCTGTTTACACCAGCTGACCTATTGAATTCAGGTTTTGTGTGCTCTCTGCCAAGGTTGCAAGGATTCAGCATCTTTGTTTTGCTGACAAACGACATCTCCGGGGCCCGGGGCAGCAGCGGTGCCGCAGTCTGTGGTGGATTTGCTGTCAGGATCTGCTGGTTGCTTTTTGGGTTGATGTTTTAAATGGTGCCTTTATTTCTACACTATATGTGCATTTACCACTGCTCTGTGCCTGGAAACAGCTCTGGTTGCTGAAATGCGGCGTTTGAGGCTGCACAGTAACTGCTGCGTGCAGAACTGGGTGAGCTGTATTGCCTAGCGAGGCTGCTGGGGCCCTCAGAGGAGCTCTTTGACCAAGCACCAGGCCATAAAAGTTCAGACTAAAGTCCGTTTGCTTAGGTAAAGCTGAGGAGCCTGTCATTCCCTTTAAGTGCCACAGAAAGCGATTGGATCCTGCTCAAAATCTGGGGTTTGTTACCTGAAAATGTTCTCAAAAAGTGCTTGTCCTCCCCTCTTCAGGTGTGGATGGGAAGGTGGTGTTAAAAAAAGCTAAAAAAACAACAACGCCGTTAGCAGCCTAAGTATGCTTACCTTCTGGTTTGTTTTTTTTAGTCAAAATAGTTCCTTCCAGGAGTGAACTAGGAAGGAAAGCAAATCAGATTATTGCCATGATAACAGCTGGATGTGCCAAGATGCCTCAAGGTTCAAGCTGTGAGTAAATACCTTTGTTTCAGGAGCGGAAGACCACAGTCTGATGCAGGAGCTTATGGTTTATAACACTATAAAAGTTGGTTTTCAAATAGTAAGTGGAATTGGTGCATGTGTTTCCTTGTATAGGACAACAGCTCAATAAATTGTAAGCCAATTTGTTTGATTTTTTTTTAAGCTGAGGACTGTTGTAGGCTTCTCACTACCTGAGGGTTATGGCAGACGCATGCTAGTCCCTAGGAGAGAGAGGAGTGGTTCTGTGACACCAATTGGCCGCGCTTCAGAAGGCTCATTTACAGTCCACATCGAGATGTGCGAATCTTTGCCCCCCTGTGTCTGTTGTGACTTTGGAGATGTGTATCATCGCCA